AAGGTTACTTGTCGTACGTTACACGAGGTTTAGAATTTTGGAGCGACCGAGTCGCAATCTTCCGAACCCAACAATATCCATCCATGAGAAAATAAACTTTTTCTTGGTATTCCAAAACTAATGTATTATTTGATTTGTTGTTAATATTTTCATTAGTCATTGCTATTAATTAAAAAAGATAATATTGACAAGGTAAATTATAATAAGCAATCGATTAAACCATTTTAATAATTTTATCAGAATATTTAAATTTTTCATGACCAAAGTTCACTTTTATCGACCCGCCTTGCGATCTAAATCCAACACAAGGATATAGATCGTTTTTCAAATCATCGGGCAGATAGCATGCAATTCCTTAAAATATGGTATAATCATTAAATTTCCTGCCTACTTCTTTAAAAAAATAGTCGTTAAAAAAATATTAATTACCTAAATTGACCCCATTTTTAGTATAAAATACTGTCTTATTTATAAAATTTAAATAACATCCAACTGTATCACGAGTAGTATATGATGGTCCATATGACTCGACGCTTCCAGAATAAAAAGAATATCCATCGTCACCGTGGTAACCACATCTCCACGATCCATTTTCCTCATATTTCTGTCCTAAGGAATTTTATAACAACATAGATATTAATCTAAAACGATAAGAAAATAAAATAAAAATCAGCTACTACCAGGCATGAGCATGTCATTTATAAAATCTGATTCCATATTGTAATCGTCTGTTTTTATATTGCTTTGCTTTGTGCAAAATCCGACTCCAATCATTCTATTAAGAAATATAATTAAAATTTCAAGAACAAAGGATTATTAATTTTAGGGGAATTTACAAATAAGGGCCCGGAAAATGAAAATAATTACAAATACGGGCCCAAATTAAAAATAATTACATATGAGGGTCTAGTTTTTAAAAATATTACATATAGGGGCCTAAGTCTATTGATGGAGAAAAAACATGATCACGGAACTACTGTGCCACAAAGTACTCTGACCATTTGACTTATAACAATAGCAAAATCGCGATTATAGAATTATTGTTGTTTTATTATAGGCACTCGGAGTTATCTAGATATAAATTATCAGGTAAAAAATAATGAAGCACTGGCTACAATCATTTTCGCTTAAATATTGTATAAAAATAGTGTTAAACTAGCACAATTATTTACAAGATGATGAAGTTTCAACAGAGTAGCTCTCAAAAGCGCAATGCTTTACTTGATATCATAGTGGTTTGTTATAACGATAATCGATTTTATACAAGAAAATGAAATTTATTAAATTTAAAAAATTTCTTTTTTCGTTTATAATTACTAATTTACAATCGATCGTTACATTTATCGATGCTTATATTCTTATGTAATAACGATCAAGCCATAGGATTGAATAATGCCGCTGTTATTTTGGGGCCTTATATGTAATATTTTTTAAAAATTAGGCCCTTTTATGTAATTATTTTTAATTTGGACCCGTATTTGTAATTATTTTCACTTTCCGGGCCCTTATTTGTAAATTCCCCTTAATTTTACCCATTTTCCCCTTTATCTATAATTGTAATTTCAAAGTAAAATATACCACATTGTGAAGGGATTGAATGATTTGCTCGAATTATAGCAGCTTTATAATCATCAGGGTCTTAAAATGGGGTTTTTTTTTTAAAAAAATATATAATTCTATATTAATTAAACTACCAACAAATAACGTTCATTAATTGAGAAATTAGCTTAATTTAATTTCTAATTTTCATCTTACTCGTGTAATCCACTTTAAGTACATTTGAATTTATGTTAATAAATGGTGGTTTATCTTCAATATTCCATGCAGTCGGCAAAATATTATTATTTGAAGATGTCATTTCGTTGGGGTTTAAATCTTTCTAGATGATTAGTAAACCAAATAAATTATCGTTATCGTTATACAAAAGCAATTTATGGAATTATTGGTTTGTATGAAGTCGAACACAATGTACATAGATACGTACATACATCAATTTTGAGTCCTACCTAAAGAAGTATAGTTGGATGTATCAAAGAAGTTGCGTATAATAAGCTTTTATTATCATACTCATGTCTATGATAGCTATTAATATGCATTTTAAATTAAGTATTTTGGTATAACAAATCTAACGATGTAATAATAAATAATTTTAAATTCAAAAATATATACCCAAAAATGGATCGTTGATTTCAAGACATTTAATTAATTATATATAATGATGTTGAACTGGAACATAAATACTATTTATTGCTATAGGATTTTATTTTATAAAATGAAGTTAATATTGAAATAACTCAGTAACAACATATGCTACAAATAATAAAAATGCGATCATTTATTTCACAAAAGAATTGGCATCGCTGTTGGAAAAAGCCATTGTCAGCGTTCGAAAATGTAAGTAATGTAATTTAATTTAAATCATTTAAAATACTGTAGATTTTAAATATCACTAATAGAAAAGTTAGAGTATGAAAATTGACTATTACACCTCGAAGAAAGGAAAAATTAAGAAAATTGCACATTTCTAATTTAGTTAAAGAACGTGAACGTAGTTTAGAACGTTAATATGCTTGTTTTGCTTTGTTAGTTTATTTCCAAAAAATAAATTTCTTGCATAATTGCTTTAATATTTGCTTTGCTAAACTATTTGTAAAAAAAAAACTCATTGTAATTGCTTTAATATTTAATAACTAATTATTGAAATATTTATTATCAAACGTATTACGTATAACATACAATTTTTTATTTTCGATATCATACGCAACTACTTTTATTTTTCCGACTATACTTCTTTAAGTAATACCGTCAATTTTAGTCATTGCGCCAATATTAACAGGTAGTTAGTAAAGTAGTACTGTACGATTATACAAATATGTACGGACGTACGAACATTGTGCAAAATTAATTTTATAAGTCCATAATCCATTTGGACAAGGATGTGACGAATCATTGATAAGCATTATTTAATAGAATTATTTAGTTAATGCTTACTCGCCACACCGATGATTCGTCACATCCTCATGCCAAATGAAAGAGGAGACCTAATCCTTTACAAGTAAATCCTTTTTTAATGTTTAGGGTTAGGAAAGTGTGAGCATCATTCTTTTTCGTGTGATGTTATAGGAAAATTAGCTTTGCTTTGGAAGAATTTTTTCTTTTACAAACCGTACGTACTATCATGATTTCCCAATGTCCGTTCCAATTTGCGTTTCCGTACCGTACTAATTTACTATATACCCCTGATATCGTAACGTAACGTACTTCATATAGGCAGCTGCTCCAGATATCTCGTACTTTGCACAAAGTTCAGAAGTTATATGATTTGTAGAATGCATGCTAGTTTGGCCCCGTGTGTAATACGCCAGGGTCTAATATCAACCAATCAACTCACATAACTTTTTTTCTGCAGTACAACAATAAATGTAGTGTAACCATTTTTAATAGATCACCCCTTTATCGTTATCGTTATACTATGATTTCGTTTTGATATAAAATGACAGTAAAATTCTTTGAAAATCTTTCAAATAATTATCTTCAACTTCTTAATGATAAAGAAGAATTTAATGTAATTATCAACATTGGTGAATCGCCTAATACAAAAATATTTCAGGCACATTCAACTATTTTAAAAAGTAGATCTTTATATTTCCGTAATGAATTAGCAAAGAATAGTAAAGATTCGAATAATCTTAAATCAATTAATTTAAAACATGTTTCAATTCAACAATTTGAAATAATTATCAAGTAAGTTAAATACAATATGCTTATATATAATTTTTTTTTTAGAAGATTATTAACATAAATTTTTATAAAGGTATATTTATGGAGGAGTGATTTCATTAGAAAAGCTTGAAGCATCATTTATCTTTGAGTTAATGCTTATTTCTTACGATTTTCTTCTTGAAGAGTTGGCAAAGTATCTTGAATCCTATTTAATTGAAACCAATGCTTTCTGGCTTCGTTTACGATTTGCACATGTTTATAAAGCAAGTATTCAAAATGATAAACTTCAAGAATTACATAATTGGTGTAATAGTATTGTAGCAAAATATCCTGATATAGTTTTTAACTCTGAAGATTTTATCTCTCTTCAAGAAAGTGCTTTAGTCTCACTTATTAAACGTGATGATTTACAAATGGATGAAGGAAAAATTTGGAAATATATTATTAATTGGGGAATTTCTCAAAATCCTGATCTACCACCTAATTCTGAAAATTGGTCTAATGAAAATTTTCAAACGTTAAAGATTACTCTAAAAAATTGTTTACCGCATATCCGTTATTTTCAAATATCTAGTGATGACATTATTGATAATGTACAGCCATATCAACAAATTCTTGAAAAAAACCTTTGGAATGATATATTAAGAAGGCTCGCTAATTCAAAACAACCAATATCATCAATAATTCATCCTCCTCGTAAAGTTTTAATCAAGACATTACCCAATAGAATAACTGAACCATTGTCACCATTTTCAAGTGTCATTAACGAAGCACATGCAGTAGAAATTGCTTCATGGGTTGATAAGAAAACTGATACATATTCTACAATGAATAATCCTTATGAATTTAAATTACTTATTCGTGGAAGTAGAGATGGCTTTACTCCTAACGCATTTTGGAGTTTATGCAATGGACAAGGAAACACTATTGTAATTATAAAAGTTAAAGGCACTGATGAAATCCTGGGTGGCTATAATCCTCTTAAATGGAAAATATCTACAATTCTTGATGATGTGACATGCAATAAAAGCTTTATTTTTTCGCTGAAAAATGGTACTATACAAAATTCTGTTTTGAGCCGTGTAATAAATCCTGTATTGGCATTTAATTTCTATCAGGGGTTTGGACCATATTTTTATGATCTTAACATATTAGGTAAGTTTTTTAATAAAGACAACCTAAGTTATTGTTGTGAATCATCATATGAGAAACCAATTAGAAATTCCCCTGATTGTTCAAAGTTTTCAGTAGAAGAATATGAAGTATTTCATATTTACAGAAAAGCCTGATTTTATATTCTTTAATAAAGAATAAATTTAGAATATAGTTTATTATTTGAAGAAAAATAAGTTTGTTTTATATAAAATGATATATGTTAGCATCATAATGTATTAAACTTTGTAAAAGCAAATTATTATTGCTCGATCAAAAAACTCTATCAACTTGTTAAGTAGGAATCACGTATGGGAATAGGTCTCGCAAGTACTGTACATAGCATACCAAAACGTGAATAAACAGAGTACTTCGTTTCTTTGGGTCATGGCCTACATGCTAGTCATTTTCCTTCATCGAGTTGTAGCTGTCAAAGAGAAACAAAGTTAGTTTTTCGATAATAACGATAGAAGAGCATCGGTATCCAAGAAAACTTCAAATTCTAGCTGATAATTCCATAATTCCATCTCGTCCTTTCTTCCTCTTTTTGTAAATATTGAGGAACTGAATATAAATCAAGTGGACTTTAGCCTTAGAGCCACGATATTCCTTATATATATATAGCACTATCATTGCCATTTATGCTATATAACTGATCAAGTGGTCTTCGCGTTATTATAAACTCTGAGCCACGATCACTTTCATTCTTCACGCTGAAATGTACTTGACTTCACGACTACGTTTTCAAAGCATTAGCTCGATTTATCCTATCTGAGTGAGAGTAATGGGCAGCCTAATAAAGCAAGACGGGCAATAGCGAAACCAAAAGGTAAAGACTTGACTGATTCAAATAAAATGCTTATAAATCCCTAATTACGAAATGTTTCGTCATTCTCATACGACACATTTTTTTTTTTTTTTACTCATAGCACAATACATAGATTCTTACGACATTTATTATGCAAATAACTGAATTACATCATATATCGATTGTTTTTTAACTATTACATTTACATATACTTATATTGTCTTGCAAACATGTTCACGTGTCTTATTCTTGTGACCAGAATCACTGATCTCGCAATAATGCTGGCTCCGTCACTTCGTTGACAAGCCAATCAATTCATATTTGTTTGATATTTAAAAAAGATCATACCAACAAAATCGGTTTAGAAAATAAAAGTGTAACCCTTGGGGTTTCCGAAGCTCATTTAGGGAGTTCTCAAAAAGATCAATGTTGATTTAGTAGTGATCGAGATAGTTCTCATTGCTTAAAATTCATTATAAGAGTAGCTTTCATCGAAATAATAACTTGGTCAGTTTATTTTATTCCAACTAATTAAAATTTTGCTCCTATCCATTAAAGAGATGTATGAAAAATAAAATTAAATACTAAATGATTTCATCCATATTTGTATCAACTTTAATATATTTAAGAGCTAAAATTAAAAATCTTCATTGCCAATTTTTTTTTAATTTTTTTTGTTAAAATAAGTCGACTATAATACAATTAATTTTATTACACTTTTTGCATAAACACAATTACATAAAATAAACCTGAAATCTTTTGTCAAACCCTTTATAAATAACTGGATTAATTATATCCTGCATTCTTTATCAACACCAGAACTATATCATCCCCCACTCTTCGTTAAAAGTATCGGAACTATCTCTTCTCTTACTATCTTTTCTCTTACTATCTTTTTTCTTACTATCTTTCTTCTTGCTATCTTTCTTCTCACTATCTTTCTCCTCACTATCTTTCTCCTCACTATCTCTCTTCTCAACATCAACAGTTTCAATATCAATATCAACAGTTTCTTTAGTTTTATATTTACCTATAGTTATATGTAAATGTGATAATGAGCCAATTACTATAACAATGGAGCATAATATTAGACTCATAAATGGTATGATATCAAATCCATATGTGTTTGTTTTATATAATATCTAAAAAGGAAAACCATTTATTATTAATAGATGTTGAAAAAATATAAATATTATAAGAACAGAATTTAAGTGGATTTGGAATTCCTTAATTAAATTTAAGCTTAATAATAGAATTATTTTATACAAAAAAAAAAAACTATACTCAACCGAATCCCAAACAAAATATATTTCTACTCCTTACATTAACTTACTTCTCTTATTAAATTTAAAAAATTTTCGAATCCACTTAAATTTCATTCTTACTTACAAAAAGTACATACCTGAATAACTAATTGTGGAATATCTTCGATTAATAAATTAATACCAGAGAACCAAAGAACAACATCTTGATATTGATTAGTATATATTTGTAATAATCGAATATCAATAACACAAATAAAACTTCTTAAAAACGTTATAAAGAAATTATTATATGAAGTTTTATATAAAATTATTAGACCAGCTAAAAAGTTAATGAATGCCGGAACAGCCCAAGAAAGCATACTATAAATTAAAAAAAAAGATGTTATTTAAAAATTCAAAGATTTAAACGTTTGTAAACTTTATAAATTTATAAATACCTGGGAAAATATAATGCCTCAATAACATGTGAATGTTTGATAAAAAAAGCAACTTCAAATGCAAAGTCATAAGCCAACAATAAGCAATAAGAATAGACAAAGTTTTGTCCATTTTTACAAGCACATCGACGAAAAATGTACATTAACATTGCAAATGCAATTGGTATAAAAAGTCCAATTAGAGTGATTTCATTTTGATTTGCAAAGATTACTTTTTTTAAAATGATTTAGAACAAATTGGATTAATTATTATAATTAATTCACATAGAAAAAATAAAAATACTTCGATAATTCTCACTTACTTAAATCACCTAATGTGGTATTAAACGTTGTAGAATTAACCGAAATATAATCAGTCGATGTAGAATTAACCGAAGCATGATAAATCGGAGGATCAAGAGTAGCCATGACAATAAAATGTTATGTACAGCTTTGAATAAGTTAAATACCACTTTAATAGTCCAAATTGTTAATAAAAAATATCAAAAAATCAAAGCGCAGTTTTCTGCCTTTTATTAAAAAACAAATATCGTAATGTATATATTTATTTCTATTTCTGGTGATTCGAAACTCTAACGGAACTTAATGCCATCGTGATTGTAATATACCAAATTCGATTTAAATAGTAACGGTAACTTTAAATCTGGCCTACGTACAAAAAATAAATATTTGTATACATGTTTTTATTAAATATGAAAATCTTAACAAATTCAGAGGATGGCTAAAGGCATGTGCCCACGTGATTTTTACGTGATTTTGATGTTTTAATTAAAATTAGAGTTAGAACTACTTAAGTGTTAGTGTAGAGATGGATATGTAGGTAATATTACCTCCCCGACATTTTTTGTTAATGTTCCGAGACAGGTTTATATTACAGTTTTTTATATTTTTGCAATTTCATTATTTTTTGACCTCTTCGTGCTGATTCGCACAAACCAAATTTCTTGACTCCAATTGGTTAATTTAAACACGTGAGTACATGGGCCCCGAATTCAGTAATCTTTATAATGTTTGTACCCTACGTACGTACGTATGTACATATTAACGATAAACCTAAACAACGTAATAGTAATTTAACTTATGATAATGTATACTGTATTTGTAATTGTAATACGTAACAAGATGCAGCAAGATGCAACAAGGTGCTAATAAAACGGACGGAGTCTTTTGATGTCTTGAACAATTTTTATCATGTTTGGTAAAAGAACTCCATCGATATTTAAAAAAAATAAGAATGACGAATCAAAGTGGAATGAAGATGATACTTTGATCGATGAGAGTAAATATGATAAGTCTAAGTCTCGTCCTGAAGGTTCTATAACCTCATCTCTTTTACACAGATTAGACAGTATGAAACTTGAAGATGAACGTCTTAAACGATATGAAGATGATTTAAAGAGTTCAGAGAACAGAATTGCTGCTTTACGTGAAAAACGTGAAAGGACTATAACTGCTACACTTCGTAAAATCAAATTAACAATGAATGTTGACCTTTGCTTTGTTCTAGACTGTACTGGTTCTATGACCAGTTATATTGAAACTGCAAAAAATTGTATTTTAAAAGTGACTGCTTACATGAAGCGTATTAACCCAAATATTACTATTTCCGTCGGTTTCTGTGGATATCGTGATTTTTGTGATGGCAAGGACCGTATTCAATATTTAGATTTTACCAATTCGTACGAAAAATTCAGAGAATACATAAAGAATAATGTAAAGGCTAAAGGAGGTGGTGACGGTCCAGAAGATGTATTAGGTGGTCTTGATGCTGCAATAACAAAAATGTCTTGGTCCCATGCCACTAGAGTCATTCTACACATCGGTGATGCACCACCACACGGTCGTAAATTCACTCTCATGAGTGATAGTTATCCAGGAGGCGACCCAAATGGTCTAACAGCAGAAAGTATCATGAGTAAAATGCAATCATCGAAAATCTTATACTTTTTCGGGAGAATCACTGATGACACTGAACAAATGATTAATGTGTTTCGTGGAATAATTGGACAGTTCGCTGTGTTTGATCTCAAGATTACCGGTGGTGATCCAGAAGAATTACTTACTAAATTTTATCATGCTACCTGTTCAGCAATTACTTCTTCAGTTTCCTTGAACAGCACTATTTTAAAAGATTCTTTTAACATATATAATTTGCAGAAAAAAAAACTTAATATAAATCAACATGAACCTAATTGGACAACTCTTCCGGAGCTGAGTGGGAAACTTTTATCGTTTAAACTTCCTAAAAAATTGGGTGATATTAAAAACGAAAAGTATTTCAGCAATTCAAACCTTACAGTCAATAGTATGACCTTTAAAGTTGCTCCACAACCATTCTCTGTTGGCGCAGAACGGTACGCATATTTTGGTATTGATACTCAACGGGATAAATCAGAGAAATTGGTAATGAAACAATATTATGATACTGAAAAAAGAGGTGATTCCATTGAACGATATCTTGAATCTGCTGAAGTTTCTTGTATCGCTCATTTTCTTGCAACAGAATTCAATTCAGTAGCTGAACGTATTGGTATCAAAAAGAGGGTTAAATTTATCTATGTGAAAATTTTGAAACAAAACAAAATCGAACAATATTATTCAGTAGAAGGGTATTTTCGTGATGCTGAATTTAAACGTTTCAACGTGAATAGTGGTGTAATTACAGAATTTCATTCTACTCTTGAAGCGTTTGCACATTTCACATATAATTATACTAAAGGTTATTTGGTAGTTTGTGATTTACAAGGTATTGAGCTTGAAAATGAGTTTTTATTAACAGATCCTGCGATACATTGTGTTGATTCTTTAAGGTTCGGAGGAACAAATCTCGGAGAGAAAGGAATCAAAGAATGTTTCTTAAATAATCATAGTTGTAATAATGTTTGTAGGAAGTTAAAGCTAAAAATTTAAACGTTTACTATACATATAATTTACGATATCCTTTGATTCTAATTTATTTAGCCAATTACTTTTTAAATTATTTATCTTTATTAATTTCATTATTTTATCAAACACAATATATATTATTAGTTTGTCAAACTCTATACATTATGCAAAATTGATAAACCAATTTTTTTATAGAACAAACTTAATTGTAAACTTTTGCAGGCAAATTTGCCTGCAACATTTATTTAATAAAATCGTATGTATAAATAACTTAATCGAATCATGAGAGTGTGTTGGATGCCCATAGGAAGACTTTCGAATGATTGGCTGTTTAAATCAATTTAATTTTACATTATTTCTACAGTTTAAAGTACTTTTTAAAAAAAGAAGAATAAACAAAAAAGAAGCATATAAAAATTTTTATTAGGGTTGTAGGACTCAATCATTAAAAATAATCAAAATCATTTCTGGCTTTAGAGAAGTTAGAATGATAGCGACTTCTTAAAGATAGATAGAATTAGGTTATTAACCATACTAACTTCTTTAAACCAAAAAGGGATTTTGATTGTTTTTAATAGTAGAGTCCTACAACCTTAATAAAACTTTCTATATACTTCATTTTTGTTTATTCTTCGTGGTTTAATTTTTTTTAAAAAGTACTTTAAACTGTATAAATAATGTAAAATTAAATTGAATTAAATAACCAATAATACGAAAGTCTTCTTATGGGTTGGATGCACCGTTCAGTGAGGTGTTAGATACCAAATGACGCAGCCAGGGTGACCCCCAACAAGGACGGTGAATACTTCCGTAATTAAATTATAAATTATTTATCACGTTACTGCCAATTATTCCATTTTATTTTGACATGTGACATAATGTTAATGCTCTTTAATTGAACAATATTTGCAAGCGATTTTATTTTAGTAATATAACTAGACCTAAAGTTGTGTGGCGATTTCATCTCAATTTCTTGAAATTGCAATATGGATATGTATCAATACGATTTAGGTTGGAGTATATGAGAGTGTGAAATTTATTATTGTGTATAATTTATATAATGTAATGTAGATCACAATTATTAAACATAAAAAAAAAAACATTATTAATTAAGGCAAAAGGCAAAAATATCTCACTAAGAAATTTATATAAAATATAATTGGCATGTAATAAGCTTAACATTAAGCAATAAAAAAAAACAAAAAATAAATTTCTTTTTCTAAATATTATAAGTCAAACCATTATGCTGTATGACAAAGAAGATCTAAAGTATTAATCAAATTTCTAATTTTGATTATTAAAATACAACATTATAAGAAATCTAAATGATTTAGTATTTAGATTGTGTCTATTATCAACTAAAATTTTGTTGTATACAGAAAAACTTCACTCAACAGCACATGCTAAAATTGGTAACTATATGTAATAATAAGTAATTTTTTTCTAAAAAAGAATTTGTAAAGAAACTTTGTCTCAAAATATATTTAGATTGGTAAATTCAATAGTGCTCAAATTAATTACAGGTTGAATATATGAATAATGGTAAAATAATAGAATGTACCTATATAGTCTTATTAGTTTTCTAATATGCATATTGGGTAATATATTAAATAAACTAATAGTTATTTATATTATATAAAGATTAAATGTAGATATTGGCTATATAATAATATACTTTTAGTTTCTTATTATTCTTCTAATATATATAAAGAGATAAAATAAAAAAAAGAATAATAATAAACTAATAGGTGTTAGCATCAAAGCAAGATATAAGTATACAAAAGGTATGAGAAATATAAATATTTTTTTCTTTTATTATTATTTTGATATTTATCTTGCATGTTAGTAGTATTATAATAAGATAAAGGTATATATAAAGATATACATGTATTGATATATATTTTTCTGATATTCATCTAACAACTTTATAGTATAAAGCAAAATAAAAATATATAAAGATATATATTAATCTATTTTTTTTCTTTTATTATCTGAATATTTGTTTAAAGTTATTAAGATATATATATTTATATTTTTTTTCAGTGTTAAGATAACCTTTTTGGTTCTAATTTTTTATTAATACTTATATTAATATATATTTATATAGATATATTTATATTGAAATCAGACAAGTATACAACTAGTTACACATGTAACTTTTCTATATTATCTATTTAAGAAGTTTATCTAGTAACTGCCACTTTTAAGATTATGATGTCCTCCACTATTAGTGGGTCATTCTTAGAAGAGAATGATAACAGTAGGCAGACAGTAAAACCTATTTTAATGAAGGACCAGAATTATATCGATCAGACCCAATATACAGGGCAGGTTATGATATCCTTCAGAGCTGTGCAAGCTGAGCTTAAAACAGTAAATGACTTTGTAGAAGACATTACAAATACTATCTTTACCTCCAATATTTCATCACCTATTGAGATAGACACTTGCTATACTAAATTCTTAAATCAACACAACCTACCTCAAATTACTAAAGCTGTTTCATTAAAAAATTCATTCAACATCTACATTTAAATAACTTTTTTAATTCAATAAAAATATCTATAAATTTCAAAAAAACATAATCATATATTTACTTAAAAACTACAGACCAAATACTATCAAATTATACAAAAATAAATCTCTCTCTTTATAATATATATAGTTATTTACCATTATTAACATTTTTTAATTAGATAATTCCTAATACAAACTCCACTGATCTCTTTATATCCAATCAACCAATCTATTCAAACAATTCTACAATATCTTTTTCCACTTTATCAATAATCACACCTGAACATACTTCTATACCAATTAAAATTGGATCAATAAACATAAATAGTCTCTTTCAATTCAACAAGCAACTTTCCTTAATAGAACTATTACAAGAAAACAACTTAAAATATTTGGACTCTCTGAAACACACTTGTCTTCTAAAAAAGGAAAAATTTTTAGTAACCAAATTCAAAATTATATCAGTTTCTGAAGCTCATATACAAATCCTTACCAAGCTAGTGTTAATATATTTGTATACAAAAAAATCTTTAAATATATTACCAAATTCTATGATTACAATAAACACATAATTGGACTTAACTTTCATTTCAAAAACACACCTATTAGACTTCTTCAAGTATACTTTCTAACTTATAAAAAAAAATAATTTTATAAAGAAATTCAAGATCACTTAATTTCATTTACCCAAAATAACAAAAATAAATTAATTATTATGAGAGATTTAAACAGTATTCCAAATCTAAGAATTGACAGATCTCCTTCAAAAAAATCATCAATTCCAGAAAGCCAAATTATTTAATACTTAATTAGCTTCCAATTTAAGGACATCTATCGCATCTTCTATCTTAATACATTAAACTTCATTTTTAGTTGAAACAATATATAAAGCCAAATCAATCAAATATGAACTAACTTATTTATCACTAATATTAACTACATAGAAATCCTCTCTATTGGTACAATTGAATCTAATTATCAAATAATAACTTTCAAAATCTCCATTATAATCTATAAACCCAAATCTCATAAACAACATAAATGTAAAGCCTTTCTCTGAAAAAACTGTACTAAAGAAAACCTTGAAAACTACAATGAACAAACTATCAAAAATCTTCAACATTTTTCTTCAATAATCTTCACAATCTCTAACCAAAACCAACTCAATACTATATGGAATAAAATTTATAAAGCATTAATCAAAGCCTCTACTAAACATATTCCTTTCAAAAATATCAAAACAATTAAAGAAATTCATGACTTCCCATTACCAAAACACTCACCACTTTATTTTCATTACAAATAAATATAATTTCTTAAAAATCATATGAACTCAATTAATTTTAATACATTACTCACTAACTACCAAACCAAATATCCAGATTGCATATTCCAAACATCATCACTCTTACTAATCCAAATTAAAGAAGAATTCCAAACTATCAAAACTGCACTTAACCACCAATATCAACAATCAATCTATGATGAAATCAAAGAAAAAATA